GAGCGCGGGACAGATCAGACGGGGCGGATAAGCGGGCACGCACGGCACGGTCGAAGAGCTCGCGGAAGGCCTTTGTGTGGGAGACGGAGGCGAGGATCAAGTGGAGACGGATTGTGTCCTGTACAAAGATCGGAGAGCTCTAAGGCCGTGGCCACGGAGGCAAGGTACTACGCGATACCTGACAAAGCGCCAAGGCCATGCCTAGCCAGGGGTCGATGCCGCTCTGCATGGGGCTGGGGCCCTCGCCGCCGCCGAGGAGGGGCGAGGCAGCGACGATGACGAGGTGGTGGCTGCCACGGCGGGGCTTATTTGAGCTGGCGTATATCTGGAGAGGGAGGCGGGGTGAGGGCAGGGAGGGAGGACGCGGGGAGCACTCACGTTCATGCTACGGCGGATGGTGGAGGTGGATATGGACGTCTCTGCGGCGAGGCCGAGGCCGAGGTCGGGGAGCTCGTTGCACTGTGCGGGGTGGGTGATGGGGGTGGTGAACGGGGAGAAGGAGGGGGAGCTGGTGAGCCACCAGAGACGCATCTGGGAGGCAGGAACGGGCGGTCAGCGTGGGCAGGAGGGTGGAGGAGAGCAGGACGAACGGGGACGGAGAGATCTGCCGTGCGAAGGGAGTCGAGTAATTTGGGGAGATAATATGTGCGGACGTCGGGCCAGTTTGCGGCCATGGCCTGGGAGTCCTCCACGAGGATGAGGACGGAGACAGGGTCGCCCGGGGAGGCCTGGGAGGCAAACTGGAGCGACGGGGAGGAGGAGGAGGCCATGGGGAAGCTAAGGGCAGAGAGAGAGTGAGGGCAGCATGCGGCAGAGGGATGGTGGTGATAAGGTGAAGGGACGGATACGGACAGAGGTCGGACTTTCTAATATATTGCACCGGCTGGGCAGGAGGACGAGAGGCCGCTCCCGAGGACGACGACGAGCAAAACGGTTAAAGCTTGATGGGGCGCAGCGTGGGGAGAGGACGCCAATCGAAGGGAGCCTTGCTCCGCGGTCAGCAGTTCTTCCGTCCCCGCACTCGTATCAGACAGATCTTCCCGTCCGCCTGTGTCTGCTACTGCTGCTGCTCG